CATTTGTTCTAATATTAAGCAATGTCATAATACATGTATGACTAAAAAACTGAACTATGTACTAATTAAATATGTATACTGTACAACATGTTCTGTATTACATTGTCTGAAAGAAGAGAGAGAGAGAGAGATTGTAATATATTACAAAGTGGTTATCAAATATCAAGGTTTATCTAAAGCCTAGTTGTGTTTGTATACAAACAATTCTGTGACCCAAACAAATAAAGTAATTATTTTGAAACAAATATCTTTCTTATACTAAATATTTAAATATTTGCGAAATAAATGAATAAAATATAGCTTTCTATTTATTTCATATCAATCTCTTTAATATAAATTGAAATTAAATATAGAATTAATTAGTAATATAGCATCGGTTGGAAGCATTAAAAATGATCATGGAAATAAATGTTTTGTTGTTAACACCGGTATTAATAATAATAATGTTTATTTAGTCTTCTTTCAGACAATGTAATACAGAACATGTTGTACAGTATACATATTTAATTAGTACATAGTTCAGTTTTTTAGTCATACATGTATTATGACATTGCTTAATATTAGAACAAATGTTATATTATTATTATACAATAATATTTATTTATACATATTTGGTGTCATGTTGTTATATTACCGGTATAAATTATTAATCTAAAACCTATCTAAAAATTTTAACATAATATTTAGCTAATATTAGTTGTAGCATAACTACTGTATAATAAGTTATTATTAATAAGTTATACGGCAAGAAAACATTTCTTAAAAATTATAAGTCATTAAAAAATCTTTATAACCATGAAAATAATTTTTATAACTATCAAAGTCAATTAAATAAATGTGATGCACTACCAGATTAAATTAAATGCACAAAAATGCAATATATTTGACAATAAATGTGTTCAACCCTATAAATCATACAATAAAACACCGTTTGTTTATTCAATGCTTGTTTTGGTATTCCATCGGATATACAATTGTAATAATTTTGGTCAAAAGTTAACGTATATTGAAATTAATTAATTTTCTCTTTTATTTGCAGACAACGAGTAAAGAAAAGATATAACCGATTGAATTCATTTCGCATTTAATTAGAGTATCGCATATATTATAGGTTATAATTTATAACAGTTAACATTTTGATGAACTAAAATAAACTACACTCATTTCAAGTGCAGATAATATAAGATATTATTAATATAATATTACGTATGTATTATAAATTATTAATATAATTTATAAGTTATTAATACTGTATATTAATATTATATTATAATATACTGTACTGTATTTGTGGATAATATATATTTATATTGTATTACAAGTTGTAATTTATAACACTGCACTATATATAAAAGCAATTATCAATTTATATCGATGTACTGTAGTTTTATTTAAAGATTTATAATCAATACATTAAAATATAAATAAATAATACAGTGCTAGAAAATATTTAATAATTGACTATTTTAGTTAATAATAAATTGAGCATAGCAATAAACAATAAACACAGTTTTACTGTCTTATGTTAATATTTAAAATTATTTAACTTAATTTATTATTATTATAAATTTAATTAAAATTTATTCAAAAAATAGCAAATTATAGTATACAATTTTAATCATATGCCATTATATTAATTAAAAACAAATGAAACATTATTTAATTTATAGAAAATATAACTAATAACTAGATTTAAATTTTCTTAAAATATTACAGAATTTTACAGAATTACAGATTTTTAAAGCGTCGATAAAAATATTAAACTGTTTAATAACTTGTGTTCACTTTTTTACACGATTTCAATGCCATCTTTGATCATCTTGTCTTCCATCGCCTCCTTCTCTATCATATCCTTCTCTAACTTTTCTCTTTCTTTATATCTTTGTTTCAGACAATCCTTTCGCTCACATTTGGGTCTCTTATACAACTCCAACAACTCCTGAAGTACTTCTCTGCTATACAACTGTCCTTTACTTTCCTTTATCTGAAATCAGCATTTAATCAATAATTTAATTACAATATAAGAAATAAATGTTATGAAATAAATGAATATTCATATGAATAATACCAATATTAGAATAATAAGTTCGCCAAAGTCTAGTTTCTGGTAGAGATTGTCGTATCCATTAATATTGTGATGAAACATAACTTTCACATAAAGATTACGACATTTTTGGCTAAACAGAAGAGCGAATTTGACGAGAATAGAGCCCAACAGAAGAGTTGCCACTAATATAAACCAAAACCACAGGAATATAAAGATCTTCTCGTTATACATATTTAATGGCAAAACACATAACGCGTCGAAAGTTTGAATACTTCCAGAGGAGCCGTATTTACGAAATGTGCATTTTGCCATTCGTGGGAAAACCTACAAATAAAACATTTAATTAATTAAATAATGCAACACTTATTATGCCATCATTAACAATGATTAACCTTGGCCATCTCATCTCTCCTTTTCTCGGGTTCGTCCCTTAAGAAATTGAAGACATTTGATCCGTACGTTAAGAACTCTCCGCCGACCATATAGTTAATTAAGAGGGTCTGAAAGCAGACATTGAAAAGTGCCAAAATGAGGCAGGACATATATTTGGTTGCGTAAGACTGGTTTGATATTTGGTCATAATTCAAGCGCTCCACAGCGTATGTCTTGCTTTTGGACAGTATGTGAGCCATAGTCCCGGACTCGCAGTACTTCCACACCCATCGGGGAGTATAGAAAAACACGGCTTCTATGAAAAATATAAACCAAATCCATTGATAGTAATAGTATTGATAGGTTTTGTCGTCGCCTTTGTCGGCCTGTACGCCGGGATATGCGTTAAAAATGCCCAAATTCTGATCATTGAAACCGCTTTGAATGAGATATGTGTTGTGAATAAGACAATAGGTGTTGAGGACCGACTCCTTAACACCGCCCCGATTGCTGTCGCAGTCGATGGGCTCTCCGGCGAGTTGTTTGGTTGTGATCAACACAAAGAAGAAGAGCAAAAGCAATGTTGTGTACAAACTATGCAAACGAAACACACTTTCATCGATATATGCGGTTCGACAGCGAATTAATTTTAACAAAGAGCTGAACGAAGAAATCATTTTGAGTGCAATGTTTTGTGCAAACTATTCAATACTGATTGATATTAGCTTAAAATTTCTATTTAAATATCGTATAAATTGTAATTTGAAATTATATCTATGGGTCAAATCAAGTTAAAACTGGAATATTATGGCATTTAAAGCACTTATTGTTGAATTTCACCTTAACTTTGAAGTTTTCAATTTCAAATAGTAATCTCATATTCCTTCGAACCGTTTTATATACCGTATATATGGGGGCATAATATCTAGAATTACAGATCCTTAATATGAACTGAAATCAATAAATGCATCAAATAATGTATTTAATATAATAAATTTGTTTTTCCACAATTGAAACTGGATACTTTTTAATTTGATAATTATTGCTTTAATCACAATAATCACTGCCGACAATCATGATAATAGATACAATAAGTTGCTATCACTTAACAAACAATATTATTTACTCATTATTTTTATTATTCGTAATACGATTTTAAATATTAAAGAAATTACCGTTAAGCAAATAATAATAAAACGGGTGTCATATTAGACACAAAATAGATACAGGAATATGGGTTTGGATGTGAAGGACTGTTAAATAAACAATGTTATAACTCATAGAAACTGAATAAAATAAATACAATTTAATCAAGTGTATGAAATATATATGAAAATAGTTTGAACCTCCACTGATTATAAGGTACTGTGAGATGTGTCCAATTGACTATTCAATGACCATAACATTAAAACAGTTGACACTCGCACTGAACAAGTAATCATTTACATAATTGTGGACCAGAATTGGGTGAAAGTAAAAGCAAGAATGCATACCATTAAAGCCATAGCAGTGACCAGTCAACCAAACTTTCTCACAATCATTCAAAAGTATTGTTAAGAAGTGAAGTAACCGTTCGTTTCAATCACTTGCGAGTCATCCAAATCTCTAATATTAACGACGAGTTGTCCTCACTTTAATTTTCAATTGTATTAATTCTGCATTTATTTCTATTTCTATTAGTTTTTGTATTTTATTGTCAATTATTAGTACAACTCATTTACTAAATGCTATTTTACTGTATTTACTGTTTTAGTACGAGTGCTGTTAGTAAGAGTGATAATTAAACAAATAATTGAATAAATGATTTATTATTATTAAATGCATCAAAAATCATATCACTGTACATACGATTGATTCAAATAAATACAAATTAATTCAATAGAAATTGTTATAA